AGAGAGAGAATTTCACCTTACTCAGAAACTACAGCTGATTAGAAAAGGCACATCAACTATGATTGAATATCTTAGGGATTTTAACAATATTTGTGATGATTTGGTTGCTATAGGCAAGCCAATTGAAGACAAAAAGAAAGTTTTTTGGCTTCAATTGAATGGTCTAGGTTCTGAATATAAAATTTTTGTCACAACCATGCTCAAACCACCAACACCATGTTATAATGAGATCATACCACTTTTGCAAAGCCATGAAACATGGATTACTGCACATGAAATGCAAGTTTTGAGTACTCCAACAGTTGCCTTTGTGGGCCAAAAGACACATGCTCCTTTTCAAAAGAAACAAGGTGGCAATAATGTCTCTTCAAGAGGTAGAGGATTTACTCAATTCAGCCAACATAGTAAGGGCAATCATACTTTTAGTGCTTCATCCAATACCAATAATCAAGTGTCCCAGCAATCGAATCCAAGAGAGCACGATAGATATTTTAATTCTGGGTCCAGTGCCTCTTGTCAAATTTGCGGTAAGAAAAACCATACTGCTCATAGATGTTGGCATAGATTTAATCAGTCCTTTGCTCCCAATGATATTCCACAGGCTCTTGCTGCTATGACTATCACAGATAGCCAAGACAGTGCATGGTTTCCAGATACAGGAGCTTCCACCCACATGACCGGCGATTCAGGTACTTTGGTTAATCTAAAAAATTAAAATGGACTTGATCGTGTTATGGTTGGAAATAGTGACATGCTAAACATATCTCATACTGGCGTGATTATGAAAAATGTCTTTCCAGTGCCTGAACTCAAGAAAAATCTGTTATCCGTGAGTCAATTTACTTCTGATAATCCATGCTGCTTTGAGTTCTCAAATGATGGTTTTGTGACAAAGGAAAGGGAAACCCAAAGTGTCATGATCAAGGGAAGTAGGCGAGGAAATTTGTACGCACTTGATGATGTTCAACCACAGGCCTTCTTCTCTAACCGTTACCAAAGTGCAAGTGAACAGGTATGGCATTGGCGACTTGGGCATCCACATTCAAAGGTGGTTCGATCTTTGGATAAAGAAAATCTGATTAAAGTTGATAGTTGGGACAATAATAAGGTCATTTGCAACAGCAGTCAAATTGGAAAATCTTGTCGGTTACCTTTTATTTATGCTAGAGATTGTTCTACAAAATCTATTGCTGTTCTTCATTCTGATTTATGGGAATCTTCACCTGTTATCTCTCATGATGGATATCAATATTATGTCATTTTTGTGGATGAATGCACCAGATTTACATGGTTTTATCCTCTTAAGCATAAATCTGATTTCTTTCAGTGCTTTCTAAATTTTCAAGCAATGGTGGAACGACAATTCAGTAAAAAAAATTTAGTTTTCCAATCTGATGGTGGAGGTGAATATAAGAAAGGAGACTTCATGCGACATCTGAGTAAACTTGGCATTGTTCATCATATGTCTTGTCCTGGAACTCCTGAGCAGAATGGCATGACTGAAAGAAAGCATCGCAATATCACTCAATTGGGGCTGACTATGCTGGCTCATTCAAAGGTTGCTCAACATTTTTGGGTTGATGCCTTTTCTACTGCAGTTTTCCTTATTAATAGATTGCCAACTTCAACGCTTAACATGTTCTCTCCATTCCAAAAATTACTTGGAAAAAATCCTGATTTCAGTTCATTTAGGGTTTTTGGAAGTAAATGTTTTCCTTATCTTCGTGATTATGCCCCAAAGTAGCTCAGTCCCAGATCTCTGCCTTGTGTTTTCTCGGATATAGTTCCCAATTTAAGGGGTATCTATGTTTATATCCTCCTACAGCTCATGTCTATACTTCTCCGCATGTTATTTTTGACGAGCATATCTTTCCTTTTTCTACTCCAAATTTATTACATGTTCCACAGGAAAATCATCTCATGACCACTTTTAGTGATTGGGTCGATACCGGTAAAGTTATCTCTCTAGCATCTCCACCTTCTGATGGGCCACAAGATTCATCACTAAATCAAGATGAACCATTGCCAGGCCTAGTGGGAGCACATCACAAAGATTCATGCACTCAAGGCCCCTGCTCTCAAGTCCTTGAACCTGAAGTTGAGGTCATGCCCGGTCTTGACTCTCCACCACTTGGAGAGCCCTCCAGCGCATCACAGACCACTCCTCACCCATCAGTGCAACATAGCATGGGCCCATGGTCTCTTCCAGGTGAAAGCCCAACTACAGAACATTCAAGCTCCAATTCACTATCTAGTTCTTCTGCAATAATTGGACATTCTATGGTAACTCGGTCCAAATCTGGTATTGTCAAGCCCAATCCCCGTTATGCATTTCTCTCTTATGTTGATCTTCCTAAATAGCCCAAAAATGTTAAGGCCGCTCTTCAACATAAAGGGTGGACATTAACTATGCAAGAAGAACTTGATGCTCTCAAGCATAATGATACCTGGGAGCTTGTCACTCGTTCTCCTCATATGAATGTGGTTGGTAGCAAATGGGTCTATAAGACTAAGATTCGATTTGATGGCTCATTGGAACGCCTTAAGACTCGATTGGTGGCCAAAGGGTTTAGTCAAATTGAAGGCCTTGATTTCACTGAGACTTTCTCTCATGTTATGAAGCCTGGTAGTATTCGTTTGGTTTTGTCTTTGCCCTCCTAAAAGGTTGAGACATTCGTCAACTTGATGTTAAAAATATTTTTCTTCATGATCACTTATCAGAACCATTTTAAATGGAGCAACCACCTGGCTTTGGAGGTCCTAGTCTCCCTGAGTTTGTGTGCCGTCGAAAGAAAGCCCTTTATGGGCTTAAACAAGCACCTCGTGCTTGGTTTGATCGATTTAGCGGATTTCTTCTAACCTTGGGTTTTTATTGCAACACTATTGATCCTTCTATGTTTGTTTGCTGTAAAGAACATGACACCCCTATCCTCTTATTCTATGTAGATGATATGTTGGTTACTGGTGACAACACTTCCATGCTTCATCATTTTATTACTCTACTGAGTACTGAATTTGCTATGAAAGACCTTGGGTTTATACATTACTTTCTTGGCATTGAGGTTACAAGTCTACATGGTGGTCTACATCTCTCTCAAACCAAGTATGCTACAAATCTACTTGAACAAGCCCATATGCTCTCTTGTAATCCTGTTTCGACTCCAATATTTCAGAAGTTAGCTCATGGAGACCCTTCACCTTCTTTTAGTGATCCTATTGTATTTCATAGCCTTGTTGGGGGGCTTCAATATCTAACTATGACTCGGACCAGATATCTCATTCAGTATGAATTATGTTTCTCAGTTTATGGCATCCCCCAGTGAAGCCAATTATCATGTTGTTAACAAAATCCTCCAGTATATTTCTGGCACTCTTGACTATAGTTTACACCTTCAAGCTAATAGAACATTTAATTTGCATGCTTATTCAAATTCTGATTGGGCTGGGTGCCCATTCACTCGTCGCTCAACTTCTGGGTTTTGTACCTTTTTAGGGCCAAACTGTATTTCTTGGAGTGCCAAGAAACAACCTACGGTTGCCAAGTCAAGTATTAAAGCTGAATATCGTGTCATAGCATCCGCTTCAACTGAAGTTACTTGGCTTGATTTTTTGCTTCGGGATCTTGGGATTCACTTGGCC